ATCGAGGAAGAATGTTGCCTCCACTTCTTGCCCATTTTCGTTTAAGTCAATCTCAACATGAATCTGGAGGTGATTATCACCTGGGAAGCTGTAATCTACCTCATATTCCACTCCTTCATAACCTAAGGAGGGAATGTCAACCTTGCCCGAAAATCCAGAAAGGAAGTTGTTCTTGCCTTTTACAGAGAAAGTAATCTCTTTGTCCTCTCCATAGCCAATGGTTATGATACGTTCTTCACCTTCACGCCCAAGACCAATGATCAGTGCTGGGAGTGGAGTGAGTGTCGACTCAATCCTGCTTCTAAAGTAATAACCATTGTTTTCTCGTCTCTCAAAGTGATTGCTTACATTGAATTTAAAATCATTGAAAGTGAGCTCAAAAGTGCCGTCCCGTGCCTCAGTATTCAGTTCAGAATCTAATTTGAGATGGAACATCTTGAGCACTGCAAAGGAGGAAGACCCATGAATCATCACGTACAGTCTGTCATCATTGCGGAAGCCATGAAGGCTGAAGTCCAGTGAGTTACCTTCAAACTCAAGTGAAAGACTAGCTAGTTCCTTCTCCTCAGTTCCTGTACCAGCAATGAAGTCCTGTACATCATATGAAGCAGCTATCCTGATATTTTGTCCACTAGGAGGTGTGAATGAAATGTCAAAGGAAGCTTTACTTGATTTGATGTTAGCCTTTCCACTGAAGTTCATTTGAATATCGTTTCTTTGATAATTAACTTGAGCCACTTTGTTTTCATACTGACCGTCAATATGAAGGTTTTTCACCACTTCAAAAGGTGTGCTGAGATCAACATTAAAGGAACCTCCTTTTTTGCCCTTCATGCTCACCTCCACATTGAGGCTAGCCTTCCTATCTCCCCGTTGATATGTTGCATTAACTGACTTGTCCTTACCAGTAAGCTTATACTGCAGGTCTACCTCTGTTGTTTCAAATCCTTCAAATGGTGTGGTAAGCTTTCCTGAAATTTTATTTTTCCGAACTTCGAGAGTAAGGTTAATTTCCTTGTCATTCCAATCCAGCCCAGATAACAATTTGAAATTGTTACCATACTCAGCATTGGCATATGCACGTGCATGTGACAGGGTCTCAAAGTTGGAGTCAAAGATCATTTCATTTTCAAGATGGCCATCAGTAGATTTCCTAGTCCATTTCAGTTTAAATTCTTTTTTATCGCCATCCGTCGTCGTTCTTGAATAGTCAACTTCAGCATAAGCATCTGCAATATTGGACATGTCGTACCTGACGTTGATTAGAATATCTCCAAGGAATCTCGACTTGGCCTCTATATTTCCTTCAAGGGTTTCAAAACCATCACTTCGGTTCCACTTGGCATTAATGAAGGATTCTGAGCGACCAAACTTGGCAACAGCTGAGATAGATTTTTGGTTTGGATGGCTGAAGTCATGACTGACAGTGAGTTCTGTCCTTTCAAATGTAGATCCTAGGAGTGGGATAGAAATCATTGCTGTATTACGAGATCTTGTGGGGTTGATATCAGCAATGTTGACATCAATTTTAGATTCTCTACCATCGGCATTTATGAGGACAAAGATAACAACTTTGTGGTCAAAGTCATAATTTCCTGAGACTGAGACAGAGTTGTACCCGGAAATATTCGAAGTTGCTGACCATTCAAAGGATGCCGATTTCCTTTCTGCATTTCGCTCAAACTTTACCAGACGGTGGGAACCATGATAGTTTCCATAATCAAATGTACCATCTCCAGTGACTACACCGTTAGACTTGTCCCACTTAGAGGTAAACAGGAACTCGTCTGGCATGAATGGTCCAGCCTTGAAGCCTCCTTCAATATCCACATGAGCAATATCAATAATTGTTCCTTTCAACTTCAGCATTCCATATTTGGACTCACGGCCAAGCTTAAGGAAGTAGTCTCTATTGCTGCCATTGCGTTCAAATTTCCACTGGAGGAAAATGTTTTCAGCAGATGGATTTGTTGAAGAGAGTATCATGGTGGATTCCCGAAGAGTAAGTTTTCCTCTGGCATTGTAAGTGATGTTGCCCATTGTGAAGGTTATTGTAGCATCATTTGGATTTTCAACATTCCAGTTTCCTGACATATTCTGCCATGGGGCTGCTCGCCTTGCTGGAGTTGTAATACTCAAAGTGAAGTCTCCGTGTCGTGGGCTTTGGAGGTCTGCATCATATTCAAGGTTAAAAACATACAGTCTGCTTTGTCGAGGAGTAACCTCCAGCATAATTTTCTTTCGGGCGCCAGTCCGGTCTACTTCAACACGTGCATTGATGGTACTAGCTGGTTCACGGAAGGTGTTCTCAACAACAATATCAAGTGCACCCTTTTCTGGCAATGCTCCTGATCCAGTTATGTCAACCTTTGAAGTGTTTCTCGCCATACTGGGGCACCTCACGTTTAAAGAGGAAATTAAGCTTGCTGAAGCCCTCACGGTGGAAGTGAATGGTTGTGTGGCGATCTGCAACATGAATGTGAATTTCCAGGTGTCCCTTCTGTTCAGGAGCATTCCTCTCAAATTCCATCTTGAAAACTTCACGACCATTCAGCTTGATAATATGGTCAGCAGTCACAACAGTCTCACCCAAGTTAACATGGTATTCTTGGAGGTAGTCCCTGATAGGCTCGAATCGTGATGTTATGGTTATTTTTCCTTGAGTAAGGGTGAGGTTGATGGAAATTTCAGTATTCTGCTGTGAATTAGGTACAATAAGGTGAGCTTCAATGCCGGATCCTGAGCGTGACCAAAGAAGATGGAAATCAGAAGAGGATGAAGAAGCCTCAATCTTCATTGTATTCCTTCTCTTCAGATAATCCAGTTGGATATCTACAACTCTGTAGTTATCATAGGGAGTTTCAATCTTCATGTTATAGTTGGATTTATTACCAAAGGAACCTGATCCAGAGATTGTGATCTTCTGTTCATTGATGGCTCCACTGAGGTAGGCTTGTTTTGTCCCTTCATCCAGTCTTCCAGTAAGAGCCAAGATCTCCCATCCCCGAAACTCGCTCTTCACATTTACTTGGAAAGAATTTTTCTTTCCATCCTTTTCTGTCGTGAGTGTGGCATAATTATCATTCCTCCTCCATTCAGCCTTGTAGGAGCCTTCACCAGTCTTGGTGATCTCCCAGGAGATCTGTTCTGCTCTTTCAAATGGAGTCTTCATGTTGAATCTGAGGGAATTGAAATTGCCATCCAAAGATGCATATCCTGCATCATTCATCATTCTCATTTCAAGAGACCTCTTGGACCGGTTAAGAGAGCCAAACACATTGAAATTGTTGAGCCCTCTGAAGGGAGTTCGCAGATTAAAGTCCAATGTACTGCCAATGAACTTGCCAGAGACTGCAATAGCTTTAAGGTCTCCTTCTTTCTCAAGGGAGATTTCCAAGTTTGTATTTTCATTGGAAAGATCAATCTTAGCTACAAACTTAGCATCAGTCCAGCCGCTGAAAGGAGAGTTAAGGTTCCACTTGAACATGGCTAGCTTGTCCTCAATAAATCCACCTACAACAAAGCTGTATCTGTGGTCATCTGCATTGGCACGGAATGCAAGGAGCTCCTCTCTGTTATCAATGTCACACTTAATTTCAATGAAGGTGTTCTGGAAACCACTGAAAGGAGTTTTGGCCTGGAAGGTGATGTCAGAGGCCCTTGTAGAGAGCCGCAGAGAACTGGAGAGAACGAAATTCTTGTCATTGTAAGTGATGTTTAGAGTAGCACTCTTTTGGCTGGTAGTCCAGCTGTACTGGGCTGAGAGGGACAAAGTCTTGATTGTATCAAAGGGAGTCGTCAGCTCAAAGGACATATTATCATTTGCATAGGAAATGCTGGTGGTAAATTTATAAGACCCAAACTGAATGACACCTCTTCCAGATCTGTTTCCATAGTTTAGGTTTCCTTCTACAGCAATAATGTCAAAGCCCTCAATGGTGTCTGGAACTTAATAGCAATTCTATCATCACTGTATTGTCCATGTGCCTCGAAGGTCCATTCGTTGGAATTTTGACTGATCTTTACAGAAGCATCCAGTTTCTTGTTATATTCATCAAGGTTTAATGTATATTCAGCACCTAGGACGCTGAAGTCCTCAATAGGAGTCATAACCTTAAAAGATCCAGATTTCAGATTATAGCTTCCCTCAACATACAGCTTTTTCCTCAGTGAATCTCTTTGGAAAGAGATCTCGGCAGACTTCTTGTCAGAGATGACATCATAATGGGTATCCAGCTCTAGCTTCCTCCAGCCTTCAACAGGCATCTCCAGTGAGAGGTGGAGGTCTGATTTCTTGGGTGTAAAATATCCATGAGCATCAAACTCAAACTTATCCTGGTTTCTTTCAACAACAAGGGAGCATTCCATTCCATTCTCAATAGCCTGGTAATTGCCATTAATGACAACATGCTTAATGTCTGCTATTGGGGTTGCCAGTGTCAGGGTAACAGAGTTGGTGCTGAGTGAAATCTCAGTATGGAAGTCATACTTCTGACTATTCTTCTCAAATGAAGCTGAGACACTGTGTTTATTATTGAGGTATGTGTAATCACCATCCATCTTCACAGATTCAAAACCAGCAAATGGTGTTTCAACTTCAACATGGAAATTGTTGTCATTGACTGTGGAAGTCAGTGAGATATGCTGGTTATTGCCTTCCTTCATAAGATTGGCTTCGGCAGTTTTCACATCTCCAGTAAAGTCGTATTTAGCATCAACATCCAGGGATGTAAAACCTGGAATTGGCGAAAGTTGCATGCAGCTTCACGAATCCTGCTTTGTAGATCATTTGGCCTGTGAAATCGCAGAGTAAGTAATGTCATTCCTTTTGAAGGTAATATGGAAATTCTTTTCTGTATCGACTAGATTAGCATCAAGATCCCAGCTCAATATTAGCAGCATTTGCTAGAGGTGTCCTGATGCCAATATTCAACTTAGGCTTCTGAGTATTAAAAACAATATCTCCATTGAGATGATATTTGTCAGAACTCTTGGTGATCTCCACATTTCCGGTCAAAAGGTTGTTAGCCAGAGAATAGTCGCCATTCAAAGCAATCTTCTCCCACCCAGAGATTGGTGTTGTAATTTCTCCAGATACTTGCATTTTCTGCTACACTGACTTGTACTTCAAATGTGCTGATAACTCCTTCTTTATTGTAAGTAAAAAGTGTCCTGTAAGGCATGGAGGTGAAATCAAAGTTTCCTTCCAAACTGACTGTGGTCCATCCAGCAATGGGAGTTGTGATCTTGGAGTTGGCATATACCCTTTAGGGGACTATCAGCAGCTGTCTCTAGCTGCCAGTGGTAGTGGCGATCATTGCGGAAAGCCTTCACTTCGGCAGTCTCTGACAAGGTTTCTCAGGTCCCAGTGAGCTTCTCCACCAAGAGTTCGTACAGCTTCAAACGGAGTAATGATATTGAGGGTCATCTCAGGAGCTAGAATGTCGTTTGTCTTGATGTCTCCCTTCAAGGAGAGTTCTTGCGAGCCAAATTTGGCTTCAAACTCCACTGTTTTCACTTGGGCCCTGTAAGCTGTAGCTTGTGTCGACAGAAATGCTTTCATAGCCAACATATGGAGTATTGATGGTTAGATTAATCTTTCCTTGACGTTTTCTGATGTTCAGTGGTTCCTGTAACCTCAAGCTTGCGTCATTCCTGGACACAAAGGCTTTAACGCTGAACTGGAAATGAAGAATTAGCCTTAAGTGTTTCCCATCCACTGAATGGAGTTGTGCCTTCAAAAACAATGGTTTGTCCTTCAGTCGCCCTGAAGTTGATTTCCTTTGATTTGCGGCTCATCTTCAGGTCACTTTTCTTTCACCCTACGAAGTCATACATTCCGGAGACTGACATATTGTCCAGTGTCGTAAACGGTGAGGGAAAGTCGATTTCCAACTATCAGCCATAGCTCTCTGGTAGTTCCAACTGCTCAACTGCTGACCAACTTCCATTTTTTCATTGAAATCCACATTGATTTGGAATTCTCTACATTGATCTTTCATTTACCTGGTATTTCTGGGTGATTGAAAACCAATACCGTATTGCGTGAAGGGCATGGCTTCAACATTGTACTCGCCCACGAAACCAAGTTTCTGTACACTTCAAGAGGTTAATTTCAGTCATAAGAGACCATTAGCATGCTTGATGGTGACAGCAATGGCTCCTGTTATCTCGTACCTCTTGTCAAAGTTAGCACCAAGTTCACTTTCTTTTCGCTGAATGATGTCCCATAGAACACTTCCAGCGAACCTGGTTTATTAAGATATGTAGAACAATATGCAACTCACCATCTACCTTTCCTTGTTCAAAGTTTCCAGTGATGTCAATAGGTAGTTCTGTTGGCTCCACGGTTAAGACAAGAGTGACAGTCCCCCCTTTCTTGGCTGGAAGTCAATGTTGAGTTTGTTATCAGTGGCTGCAATGGTGTTTGTAAGAGTGGATGCATTGTTAAGAATGATGAGTCCCATTCAGAACAGAGGCCAATTCATCTTCCTTCCAGGCCTGTACTCAAGATAGGTTGTTTGTATTTCCAACACATCATCTTGGTGTGCAAATCAAGTTTCATGTCTTCAGTCCAAGGAGTGGAGAGAGAGACTGAGCATCATCTGAACGGATATTTCCCAGAGATCTTCTGTCGAAAGTGCCCTCGAATTGCACAATTGGCGATCCACATGTACTCGAGTTGTGTTTGTACAGAGAGCCAACCATGCATCTGCTTTGTTGTCTAATGTATAGACTCCATTTACATGAAGTAATTTTCCAGTTGAACCATCATTGGAAGCAATAGTATGGTCAATAACACAGATTTTGTTTCCCTTCATGAGGACTATGTTTGAAGTTCTTGTGTTCCCTCCTTCTTGCTATCAATGCGGACTTTTTTATCATCTAGGCATTGAAAGTGAAGTAACTTCAGCCTCATGTTTGCTAAGCTCCTGGACACATCAGACAGACCACCACAGCACATGCATACGTTTCAGAGTTGAAAATTACATCAACTGAGGAATCCTCTTGGTGTTAGTAACATGGCTTGAAGGCGATTGAGCCCTTATTTAATGGGCTCGAAACATCAACTTTGAATTCTACATCATTCTGGGGACAAGAAAAAAAACCATGTTTCCTTGAGCAGTTGCACCTTGACACTGCCATATGTTTGACCATATCCTCGTCATCTCGAACTGGGAAGTAAAGTGCTCTGTGTCATGGGTGTGCTTGAGAGATGCTGTCAGAGGGTAAGGTGGACAGGAGTGATGAAACGCACGTCTCCAGAAATGTCTGTTAGTGTCGCCACTGACCGTCCTCTGGCCAGCTACTTAAGCATGATTTTCTTCTCCCCAATTTTACCTTCAGTGATCAAGTTTTGAGGACTTTGTCCACTCAGAGAGTATTTATAAGATTGGCATTTATCTCAGGGATCAAAGAACTGGGGTGTCAAACCTTAATGCCAGAGCGTGTCATGCACATCACCGAGGTCTACGTGACCCGTGCAGTAGCAGTAGAGATCTCCTGCCATATTTCACTTCGAAATGTGGTAGACAACTGCTTGTTGAGTAACGTCATGATGCAGTGTCCAGGGGGAAAATTTGGTTTTTTTTCTCTGTGACAGGGGAAGTGAAGTAGCTCGGGCATCTACACCATTTGCGTTAGGAGTGAGTTGGAAGTTGCCTTCCATTTTCATCTTGGTCTCCTCCAGGGCACCCTCCAAGTGAGTCTTGATGGTGGAATCAACCATGTTATGATCCAAAGAGAATTCGATATGCTCATACTTATCAAGGTGCTTGTGAATCCTACTGTGGTGGAAAGGGCATTTGGTGAAGAGTCCAGTTCTACCTTGCCAGTGACAGTAATGCCATTTTGTTTGTGTGTTTCTCCATGTATCACCTAGCAAAAATCGACTCATCAACTTCATGATTCCTTGCTGGAGAAGCTAAAGGGTTGGCATCCTGTTTTTCCACCTTGGAATGGTGTCTGCACTGTAGCTGCCAGCGACTTAGTATTGCCATGAGTAGTGAACTTGACAGAAGATTCTCTTGTCAGCAGCTACATTTAGTTCCACCTTCCACACCACTGTCAATTAGCTTGCCAACGATGACACTTCCCTCTCACCATATCTGTATTATATCATCATAATATTTCTCACGACTGTAGAAAGCATACTTGTGAAAATGATTGAGGGCTTCTACTAAAAGCAAATGATTGCATTTATCTGTCTAGAAAGTTCTGACCCTGTCTGTCAAATGTATGGCATAAACAAACATTACCTTTAATCTTTACTTAATGCCGCTCCGACTTCGCCATTAGTAAACTGTCGCTCAATGACGAAAGCTTTTGTAGACCTACATCCTTGGTCCCATTCCGGCAGCAACATGTAGTTTCTTCATACCTGTGTACTGGTTACCTAGTATTTCGTGGAAAAGAATTTGAATGAAGCTCAAATATTTACTAATATTGATAGGAACAGGTTTTCCTCCAGAATCATATGATACTGATAAATATACAATATTTTACTTGGGCATTGACAAGAATGTATTTGACGAAGTTTCGATTCATTCGATGGAAGTGCGGGTGCCCTCAAATTGGCCATGTATTCGTTCCCGTCGGTTTACTCTTGAGTTAACATTGGCCTTGTCCTTGTCTTCATAGATACCGAGGTTGGGATTTCCGTCGAAGTCAGTAACGGTCGTGGAAGAATCCATCGCAATGGTAATTGATTTTACCGCCACAGACATTATCCTTAAAGTTTTCATTCCAAAGCCTTCTTTCTCATATAAGCCAACAGTCACACTAGAAAGATCACTGATTTAATATTTTGTGTGTGTATGTTATGTGTGTATTTAATATATATTGTATATATATAAGGATAATCTATTAAAGCATCACAAGCACTCACTTGAGTCTTGTAAGTGGCGAGCTGCATCTTATTGAAAACAAATTCAAGGGAAGACTTCAAGTTCTCAGACTGCCGTTGATGCGTCCAAGTGTTTTCGACATCATCAACTGATGACTGACTTCTACTAAGACAGACTGTTCTCCGTCCCGGAGAACAGGCGAGGTGAGATTACTCGTCAGGTGATTTGGAGAGAACTCCATTGGCATAGAAGCCGAAATATCGTCTGATGTTTGGGCAAATCAGTGTCCGAGTGGATGTTCAATTCACGGTGACCATTGTTATTGGCGTAGGATACCACTTCGTTTGCGTTCCATGTGGCAAGGCCATGGACAGCTTAGCGTTGTTTTCCCATGCGTCCCTTTGAAAGTCACGAATGTTCTGGTTATACTCTATTGCCATTCAGGATACTGTGTGGGTAGACGTCAAAGACAATATGACTTGGAGAAGGTCCTCTGTGAGTTCCTTCTTAAAGCAGGCAGAATGGTGCACTGTCTGTTGGACTCTTTTCAATTAATTCTGTACCTGCTCCCACCTTGGATGAAAGGAATTCTCACCATAACAAACTCACTCTTGATTAATGTGTCAATGATTGGTGTTTTTCATATCAACGTCCATGGCAACAGAGTTCTTTCTGCCCTCAAACGATGCTGGTAAAGAAAATTATTCAGCGTTTCAACATCCATGAATAATATTCCCTAGACTGATTTCACTTTGGTTCATCAAACCTTATTCCTATCTTATTAGATCTCATTTTCACTGATGATTAAAACGTAGACCTTACCATGTACAGTGATGGAGATGCGTCAGCTCTGAGACAGTAACATCTGCACGTATTTTAGCAGCTTCTGTGTTGGCCGGGAGTTACCTTGTATATTCATACGTGACC